CCTTGGTCCCGTAGCGCCCCTCCTAGGTGCTGCGGGACCAACCCAGCAGCACTCCAGCTGCTCTGCCACAGGTGTCCCCAAGAGCAGCTGGGGTGCTGCCAGGTTGGTCTCGCCACGTCAAGGGCCGGCGCTACCGAACCAACCCGGCAGCACTCCAGCTGCTCTGCTGCAGGTGTCCCCGATTCAGCTGCTGCTGAAACTGACCAGCAGCGGCTGAATCAGGGATGCCTGGGGCAGAGCCGGACTATCGGAAGGGGGGGCTATGAGAGATCTGGGGTGGCACCCCCCCACCCCAGATCCCTCATAGCCCCCCCCTTCTGATAGTCCGGCAAATCTGATAATCCGGCACCCCCTGGGTCCTAAAGGTGCCGGATTATTGGAAGTTTACTGTACATAGTCCTGTTTTTTGTTTCACCTAATAAGCCATCTGGTTAGTCTTTAAAGTGCTACATAGTTCTGTCTTTTGTTTCAGCTGCTAACAGGCTCAGAAAAATGCAGCTGGGGATCAGAATAGTGCAAGGGACTGCTGGCTACACAACCTTTCTGCTGGCAATGCCTCCTGGCCACTTCTTTGCGCGCAATGGTGGGGGGGAGATTAGTGAATTGGTGCAAGAGCCTCTGTTCTGGTTTTTGCCACCAAGATTCCCCTATATTGAGGGGATCCTCTTAGGGGCAGATTTGACAACTGTTAAGACCAGATTGTGCCAGGAGCGCAGCACAAAGCAGATGCACTGCACGAGAGAATCTAGCTCATTGTTTTTTGCAATTAGTTTGTTTCAGTTATTTGTATTCATGCGCATGCCCACCTAACAGTCACATCAAAATCAACTTGCAAAAGCTATTACATTTTCCAAGAGTACTTTACACAGGATCATGCATCTCACACTCATTTAATTAAGTCTGCCAGCCTAAATGGAAAAACAGTGACAACTTCATTGAATCAGAATGGAACGGAATTTCTGATTCAGCTAGTACAAGACTTGAATTGTCATCTACTCTATTGCCAGCAGCATTTTAAGCAGCCATGCCTCTGTGACATCTCTTGACAAAATTACACTATTTGTTCTATCAGAATGGTTTTCAGTCTAACTGATATTTCCTCTGTTCTGGTGCAAGGCCTTGTTTACACTATGAGCTAGGGATGTGACTCCCCTGCTTGTGCACACATGCACTAGCTCTCCTCAGGCTAGCCGGATAAAAAACACTGTGGCTTGAGTAGTGGAAGTGGAGGCACTGCTTAGCCATGCCAAGTATATACCCACTGGTTTCAGGCCTCTGTGTAGACCGCTGTGATGGGACGGGCCGCCTCCGCCCCACGGAGGCAAATCCGCCCCACACTGACCCCGCAGTCGCGCTTGCGCTCCTGGGGGCCAACCAGGAAGCACAAGATGTGTGCAGCCCCTGTACAGCCACCACTGCTCAGCTGCGCGGTGGGGTAGGAGCCAGAGAGGTGAGCGCCGGGAGGCACGCCGGGGTAGGGCGGGGCGGCACGCTGGAGGCGACGTGGGAGGCTGGTGACGTCACGCCGGCCGGATGCCAGGGCGGCGTTTAAAAAGAGGGAGGAGGCAGCCTGGGAGGAGCAGAGGAACCCGGAGGGAGACGGGACCACCGGGGGACTGGGACAGAGCCAGAGAAGGACTGCGGGGTAGGAAGTAGCCCAGGGTGGGGCTGGGAGCCGGTGAGTTTCGGGCACTAGCCCCACAGGCTGGACAGGATGAGGTGAACCTGTCCTTAGGGCCCAGGGTTGGGGCCCATGAGAGAGGGCGGGCCCGGGCCTCCCTACCCCCGCATCCCGGAGGCAGCTGCAGAATCAAATGCCAGACGCCAGTGCAAGAGATAGGGGATGGGACTAGGAACCGAACCTGGACAGGAGGAGCACGAGTGGGGCGGCTGGCCGCGCGACTGACCGGGCGGTTGGGCTCCCACTTGTACAAACGCCAATACATGATTAACAAATTAAGGGATGCGGTGTTGTCTCCTACACTTGTGAGTAGGCCTGAAAGTGGAATTTCTGAGAATTCTGCTTTGTGCAATAACTGCAACATAATATAAAATGAAAACAGAAGCATTTTTGTTACAATTAAATGTTTGACATGTTAAGAAAAAAGGCAGGGGTTTTGTAAATCTGACTTCTCCCCTATAATGCCTCCTTTTGTTACCTACATTCAGAAGAGAGATGAGCTTATGTCATACATGCAAGGCCACTTGCAATCACTAAGTTACGAAAAGTAAACATTGAGTAAAAGCTGGCCTGCCCTCTAAAAGAGACTTTCTCCATACCAAAACACACAATTCACTGCCAAGTATAAAAGCTGCTGTGGTCTCTTGCTGGGATATCGTTAAGTAGCATAAATGCCATATGACTGAAGGTTTATTGAAAAACAACCAAGTTTTGTATTTCTTTGGTAAGATTATGTTTTAGCCAATTTCTTAGAAATACACATAAAATACGACAATGAAAATAGAATACTGTTACATTTATACAGCCACTTCTTTAATCCTAAAGTTCTTTTGTTTCTGTAATTATAGGTTAGACCTCCCAAAACTGGGAATCTCTGGTCCAGCAACATTTATAGTCCAGTAGCACCATGGATATTCCTGAACAAGAGAGTCCCGGCTGGGAGCCCAGTGGCAGCAGGGCTGATAAGTGGGAGCCCTACTGGGCTGGTGGCAGTGGAACCAGGGCTGGGACCACAGCAGCCCTGGGTAGCAGAGCTGGGGCCAGAGCTGAGGCAGTCCCAGTAGCATAACTGGGGGCTAGCATAGCCTGGCAGGTGAACTGGGGATGTAGCAGCAGGAGAGCCAAGGGCCACAGCAGTCTGGCAAAAGAGCTGGGTTGTGGCAGCCCACCAAGAAGGCTGCCTGGGCCAGCACTGGAG